TATAATAATGATTCAATAAGTACGGCATTTTGAAGCATTGGGGAAAGGTTGGACCATTCAATAAATGCTGTGATAAAACTGTTTATGGGGGGGGGGTTAGAATACTCCTTCACGTCATACAGATATGTACATGAATCATAATTTCATGTTGTATACCTTAAATATATAATAACTTTTATTTTTCAATTATATCTCTACAAAGCTGCAGATGGATTACAGAGTTAAAAGAAAGCATAGGGGTGGGCTGAGGTTGTAGCTCAGAGGTAGAGCACTTGCCTTGCAAGCATGAGGCATTGGGTTTGATCCTCAGCACCACCTAAAAATAAATAAACAAAGATAAAGATATTGTGTCCATCTACAACTAACTAACTAACTAACTAAATAAATAAAGCATAGGGGCTGGGGTTGTGGCTCAGTGGTAGAACGCTTGCCTAGCACTTGTGAGGCACTGTCCATGTACAACTAAAAAAAAAATTTTTTTTTAAAGTAAAGCATAAACTGCTTGTAGTGGTGCATGCCTATAATCCCAGTGACTCAGGAGGCTGAGGCAGGAGGATCACAAGTTTGAGGCCAGCTGGGCAACTTTGCAGCCCCCCACCCCTGCCCTCTCTCAAAAAAAAAAACAAAACAAACAAACAAAAAAAAAAACCAAAGAAAAGAAAGGGATGAGCACCCCTAGGTTCCATCCCAAGTATGGCCAAAAAAAAAAAAAAAAAAAAGGCATAAAACTATCAAAAAAATTAGGAGAAATCCAGTAGCTTTGTAATTCTGGGGAAAAGTAGACCACCCTAACTAAGCAAGACACATAATATAAAAGTTATAAAGGGGGCTGGGGTTGTGACTCAGCAGTAGAGTGCTCGCCTCTCACGTGCGAGACCCCGGGTTTGATCCTCAGCACCACATACAAAAATAAGCAAGTGAAATAAAGGTGTTGTGTCCAACTACAACTAAAAAAAAAAAAAAAAAAAAAGTTATAAAAAAAGCCAGCTATAAACGCTAAAACAAATACACATAATTTATATACTGTCATCCCTTGTTTCCTGAGGGGCATTGGTTCCAGGGCCCCTGCAGATAATAAAATCTGCAGGTGCTAAAGCATCTTATATCAAATGATGTAGTATTTGCATATAACTATGCACATCATTCCTTATGCTTTAAATCATCTCTAGATTACTTACAATATCTAACAGCATAAAAGCTCTATAAATAGCTGTTACGCTATATGCTTTAGGGAACTATGATAAGAAAAAAGAATTCTGTACATCTTAGGACTGATAAACACCATAGGCCTAATTACATATTACATGAGCAAGATGCCCAGACACGCAGCAAACAATGCTCAAACACTGAGTGCTGGAGAGAGATTGAGATTTGATTTTGTGAAATGGCAGGAAGCTACTGCAGGGTTTGCCATACATCATGTCATTTGTGTGGATTAAGTATAGTTTTTGGCACAATTCAAATTTTGCTTTTTGAGACTTTCTGGGGATCCCCCCAAATGTTTCCCATCCAAGTTTTGGTGAATCCATGGATACAGGACCCATGGATATGGAGGGCTGACTGTATGGTGAGACACAATAAAAAGGGCTAAAAGATAAAACAGACTAGGAGGAAAATTAACAACAAATATAGCAAATAATCATATAGCCAGATTTATGAAGATCTATACATTTATAAGAGAAAGATGACCTATTGAAAATATGGGCAAAGAACACAAATAACCAATTCATAGAAGAAATACAAATGGGTTATGTCAGAAAAATAGCATTATTTCACTAATAATCAGAAGTGTTCAAATTAAAATGAGTATTTTTCAGTTCTAGAAGTACATCTGAATCTTTTATTGTTGTTTTGAGATGAGGATCTAACTATGTTGCCCAGGCTGGCCTTGAATTCTTTGAGTTCCAGTGATCCTCCTGAGTAGTTGGGATTGGAGGTGTGTGCCACATTGTCTGGCTTGTTGTTCTTTTTATGGATTCCAATATTTCATTGAATTCCATCTTTTTTTGTCTACTTTGTCCATTTTTTCCTCTATTTTCTTTTTAAATTTTTTTTTAGTTGTAGATGGACACAATATCTCAGCCTTCTATTTTCTTAAATATATTAATTATAGTTATTTTAAATTCCTGCTTACAAACTCCTGTATGTGGACATGAGTTGGTCTGTTTCTAATATTTATTTATTTTTCTTCTGATTAATTATTGGTCACTTTTGTGTACATTTGCACATATAGAGTATCTTGTTTTGTTTTTTGGGATACTGGAGACTGAACTCAGAGGTGCTCTACCACTGAGCTATCTATCCCCCAGTTCTTTTTATTTTTTGAGATAGAGTCTTTTGGCTTCCGTTTCCTCTATGACAGTTCCTCTGCTAGGGTCCAGCCTGATCCTTGGCCTGAAATTATCCCAAGAAAGAAAATGCTAAAAAATGATCACCTAGGAAGAAGTTGTCCCTCTCTGCAATTTTAGTCCCTCTAGCTCTTGTTGCTATCTTATATCTTTAAAAACATTTATTAAATAAAAGATTTATAATTGCATTGAGAGTGTTGCCTTCTGTGATCTATCATATCCTATCCAGAAGCAAAAGTACATATGCCAAAGAAACATAGCATTCACAGTACTACAATAGACAAGATTTGAGAATAATGTGGGATGTGAGGGAAAGGGAAAGATTAGACATGACTCCTAGGTTTCTGGACAGATATAGTGCAATTCATTAAGAGATTACATAAGATGATATGACATAGCATGGGGGAAGATCATGAGTTCAGTGTTTAATATGGAATGGCTCTTAGGTTTCTTGTTGAATATAATGAATAAAAACAAGCTAATGCAATTCACTAAGATAGGAATCACTGAAAGGGAATATAATTTTGAGGGTGGGATCCTGAGTTTGGTTTTGAATACATTGGATTTTAAGTATCTTTTTTTTGGGGGGGGGGTACTTGTAATTGAACTCAGGGGCACTTGACCACTGAGCCACATCCCCAGTCCTATTTTGTATTTTATTTAGAAATAGGTTCTCACTGAGTTGCTTGGTGTCTTGCTTTTGCTGAGGCTGGCTTTGAACTTGTGATCCTCCTGTCTCAGCCTCCCAAGCCACTGGGATTACAGGCGTGCGGCACCGTACCCAGCTGGATTTTAAGTATCTTTGAGACTTTCAAGTAGTCAGCTGGATTCAGATATCTGAGTCTCAGAACAGAGGTAAGGGTTTGAGATAATGATTTTAAAGGTGATCAGTATACAGGAGATAACTGAAGTCATAGGTGTGAATGTGACCACCTCAGTTGAGAATACAGTAAACAGGAAAGAAAACCCATGCTGGAGTCTTAAGGAATTCAATATTAAACAAACAGGAAATCTCTTCTTTAATTTATATTGCTGTCAATTCTCATTGATTATTACATTTTGCTGTGAATAAACTGTATTGGGACAGCTATCTATTTTCCAAAGTTTTACCAGCAGTTTTCTATTTTTGGAAATTCTGCAAAGGAAATCCACAGATCCTGTAGAGCTTTAGATATTATTTTTCAAACTATAGGTCATGACTCAGTGGGTCATGAAATTAATTTAGTGGGTCCTGATTAACATTTTTAAAATGAGATAAGTAGAAGGGAAAATATCAAAGTGTATCATATGCAATAAGTATCTATACCTTCTTGCTTGGTGAACTTATCCAGATTCACAGCTCTTAAAGCCATGTTCAACATTAATATTTGTGTGTGTGTGTGTGTGTGTGTGTATACACTGAAGACAGGGCATTCACTAAGCCTCATCCCCAGCCCTTTTTTTTTTTTTTTTAAATATTTTTAGAGACATAGTCTCACTGAGTTGTTTAGGGCCTTGCTAAGTTGCTAAGGCTAGCTTTGAACTCGTGCTCCTCCTACCTCAGCTTCCTGAGCTGCTGGGATTAAAGGCGTGCACCAGCGTACTTGGCTCAACTTTCATATTTGTATCTCTACCCCAGGCCTCTCTCCTAAACTCCACACTCATTTAGATATCACCAATTGCAAATGTAATCTGTAAAACGAGCAAACAAAACATTCTTAGCTGAGGGAGTCTACTAGATATCTAAAACTCCAATATCAAGCCCTCGTCTTCCTTCCTGAAACAGCCACCTCTGTAGCTTTCTCTAGTGATGACAATGTCATTCTTCTACTTCCAGAGAGTTGCTTTTTACATTCTCTAACACACTACATGCCACATGTCAGGAAAGCTATTAAATCTATACCTCAGAATCCAGTTGCTTCTCCCCTTCCCGACAACTGCCACACTGGCCCAAGTTATCATCATCTTTTCTCTCACCTGGGTTAATACAACTGCCCTCCAGTCCTCTCTGCTCCCACCCTTGCTACTCTCCTGTCTATCCTCAACACAGCAGTCAGAGTATTCCTTTAAAACAATGGTCAGCAAACTTTTTTGGTATAGGCCAGAGAGTAAATATTTAGGCTTTGTGAGCCAAGAGACAAAACCAAAGCTCTTACAAAGGTACTTACATAACAAAAATAAATTTCCCAAACCTTTTTATTGACAAAATTCAAAATATAATTATAATAGATAACAATTTTTTATAATTCAGGTCTACTATTGCGAAAACTGAAATTCTTTTTTTTTTTTTTTTAAATGGGCACCATTTTGCTTAGTGTACAAAGCCTGTGTTCCTTATCATCAAATCAATTGCAACTGTTTATCTGTAAAAACCATTACTAGTTGTGGGCTACACAAAACAGGAAGTGGGATGGATTTACCTTTTGGGCTGTAGTTTTGCTAATCTCTGTTTTAAAATATAATCAGATCATGTTACTCTTCTCCCAAAACTCACATCAATTAGTTTTCTATGTTCAATATATTATCACATAGCAAGAACTGCTAAATTCCCTAAAATACATAAATCTGAATTTATTTAACCTTTCCATCAAAGAAATATTACTTCACAGCAAATGACAAAAGAGAACATTTCTCAGATTGAAACTTTCCTGGTTAAAGCTTCCATTCACTTACTGAAGAAGCGAAGAGGAGTGAAGAAAGATATCACTCAAAGTCTTTGCTTTGGAAATGGTGACCTGAACAGACTTCGGGAGTAAAGTCCACTTCTGAAATAGGTATGATTTCCATTCATCCACAGGCAGATCCATTCTATTTCAGGTCTGTAAAGTGAGTAATGAAGAATTCAGATTTCTACAAATGCATAATTCTAGAAAATCAAGATTTCATCCAAGCAAATGTAAAGCAACAAAATCGATCCTTATGGTCTTCTATTGTAATTGTTCATATGCTGAAGAAGGATCAATATTTTGTCATGCCAATCCACTCAACAAACTCAGTCAGAAACATTTATCAAAAGCCTACTTTGTTCCAGGAATTATGGTAGGTAGTGGTTATACAAAGACAATCAGATTACAGTAGATAGCTACCATCCCAGTCCTTCTTTATTTCCATCTTCCCTAGTTGCCCAAGTCACTCCAGATTTTATTTTCCACTCACACTAGCAACTATTAAGTTAAATATTTCTCTCCATAAATCAGTTTTCTGCTTCAATCTCCAGATCATTCTTTCCATCAAAGCTCTCACCATCGTGTGTGTGTATGTGTGTCTGTCTGTCTCTGGCTAAATTGCCCAGGTTGGCTTTGAATCTGTGATCCTCCTGCCTCAGCCTCCTGAGTAACTGGGATCACAGGCCTATGCCACTCACAGCTCACTGGAGGATTCTTTCCAGAGTGTTATAACAGCCTCCATCCCCTCAATCCCATCCTTCCTTCCCTTTCAAATCTACTCCGCACATTGGGAGAGACCTCAGTCCTCTGTCAATTCATTCCTCCTAGCATACAGGGAAACCCACTACAAATTCGTCATTATTTGATCTTTGGCTTACTTTCTAATTCTCCTCTTCCTCGGTATCCTACCATACCGAGCTACTCATTGTTATTCCCAGGCTTGCCAGGTAATTTCCTCTCTCCAATGTTTTTGCATAGGCCATTTGTTCTTCCAGAATCCACAGTCATTTGGAGTCCACCTGGCAAATACCCACACTTACTGGATTCGGTTCAAATGGCACCTCGTCTGGGTTGCCTTCCTGATTTTCCACCTGTGATGCATCGCACTGGGGGCCCATACCTTGTCTACCTTGAGTGTGGGCTCCTCTGGGTAGAAATTCCCCAAACAGACTGTGCTCACATCTGAGGCTTCTTTACCTTCAGGGATCCCACGGTGCCAAGCTCTGGGCCTGGCACGGGCGGGAGGCCTGCAGTGGGTTGCCGAAAGAACCAGGTCACTGCTTTGACTATATTTAGAACCGTTATCAGAAAACAACTCTATTCTCTGGGCTACCCTGCGGCCCATCGGCCAAAGGCCTCGGCGGGTACGCTTCCGAAACCCCGCTGCGAAAGGACCTGGAAGAGGGCGCCAGCGCCTTCAGGGGCTCCCGCCAATCACTGCGCGCGCAATTTGGATCTATGCCTCACCCCCAGGACCCGCCATCCCGCCACCTGGCCTCGGGCCCAACCACGGGCGAATCACGTGGACCGCCCATCGAGCCTCGACCAATGCGATGGCTGCTCGGCGCCTAGGCCCGCCCCAGCGTCGCGCACACGTCGGGGGCGGGAGTGGCGCGCACAGTTTCTCCGGCCAATCGCTGCACAGCCCGCGGGACCCCGGTAGTGAAGTTGGGGAGCCGAGGAGCGCGAGCGCGGGAGTTAGAGCCCTGGAACCATGGTCGGACCCTTGAGCGAGGGGGCCATTGCGGTGAGAAGCATCTGGAAACCGAGCCGGTGGCTTCGGGAGGCTGTAGGCCCGGAGCTGTGGGGAGCGGAGCGGGAGGGAGCCGCAGGCTATGGGGAAGGAACGCTGGAGGGGGAGAAATGGAGGACCGTGGGGAGGACAGCCTAGGGTCTCTCTCAGTGCTTCCTGAAAGGATTTTTTCGTTGTCATTTAAACAGGCTCACTTTTCTAATTAAGAAAACAAAACAAACGACCCCCCCCTCGTCCACCTGCGGCCACATTGTCTCCTCCTCTTCCCCCATCCACACCCAAACTTTCGTAGAGTTGTTCCTTTCCCCTGTTTCATTTCCGTACCTCCCACTAGCCCTCTCCAATCAGACAGTCCTCTGATCACTATAGAAAACTGATGAAAGTTACCCGTCCAAGTCGCCAAGTTCGACAGCCGCTTTTCAAATTTCAACTTAGATGAATACTCAGAATTGTTTGGGCCTGTATTGATCCATGCTGCCTTTTGCTAACACTGTCGTCTTCTGGGTTCTGTGGCTCAGCTAGTCTTTCCCATCGTATTTTTAGGCCTCTTTTTGTAAATTTCTGTTCCCTCTAGGCCCTCTTCTCCCTGGGCAATTTCATTGCCATCTAGATGTCAGTCGCACTAATTCCTTTGTGCCAGCCATCTTTACTCTAAAAGAGGAGCTTCTGTAGTCTGTCTGCCTTCTTGATTCTCAAAGCCATCTCAAATTCAGCAAATGCATTACATAAGGGGTGCCTAAGTCGCGACCTCTTGATGTACTTGTTTTAGCGAATGATACCTTTAGAAAGTTATGCTAGCAGGAAATGGAGGAGTCATTCTTCCTACATTCTTCATCACTCTGGTTGCCCAGTCCATTACTAAGTGAAGTGTATTTTATCTCCATATAGATCTTTTAAGCCCATTGACTTTTCTCCACCCACACTGGCACCATCATTTCTTGCCCCTGCTGCTCTCATTTGGCATACCGGGCTCCCACCATTCCCATCTAGCCTGTATACTGTCTGCCTTTGCCTACTCTCAGTGCCCTGATCATTCTTTTTCTTCTGCCTGGATTGTTCTTGACTCCTACTTCATTAGCTAACATAATGTTCAAATTCAGATCAATTACTGTTTCAGGAAAGTCTTCATTTGACTTTCCTTACTAAACAAATAATTTTTTTTTTTTGTACCAAGGATTGAACCCAGGGGCTTAACCACTGAGCTACATCCTCAGCCTTTTTTTTTTTATTATTAGTTATTGATGGACCTTTATTTATTTGTTTATATGTGGTGCTGAGAATCGAACCCAGTGCCTCACACATGCTAGGCAAGCGCTCTACCACTGAGCCACAACCCTAGTCCCCAACTCTCATCCCCAGCCTTTTTTTTTTTTTTTTAATTTTTTTTTTTTTTTTTAGTTATACATTGACACAATATCTTTATTTTTGTTTATTTATTTTTATGTGGTGCTGAGGATCGAACCCAGGGTCTCTCACGTGCGAGGCGAGTGCTGTACCACTGAGCCACAACCCTAGCCCATCCCCAGCTTTTTAAATTTTGAGACAGTCTTCTTGAGTTGCTAAGGGCCTTGCTAAATTGCTGAGGCTGGCTTTGAACTTGCAATCCTACTGCTTCAGCTTCCTGTGCTACTGAGATTACAGGCATGCACCACCACAGCTGGCTTAAATGTCTTTACTTTGAGACCTTAATTTCTCTTTATTTGCTTATTAGATGTGTTACTTTGGGCTAGATACTAACCTCTTTTCCTTTCCTGTAAAACAAGGGAAATGATACCTGTTACTTGTAAGGTTAGTGGGAGGATTAAGTGCATTATTACTTTTTTATGTGTGTGGTGCTAGGGATTGAACCCAGAGCCTTGTGCATGCAAAGCAAGCACTCTGTCAACTGAACTATATCCCTAGCCCGTGTTATTACATTTTAAAGTGCTTAGCCCGCTGCCTGATACATGGTAAACTGCTGAGGCTTTACCAAACTTGCGATCTTCCTGCCTCAGCCTCTAGTTGCTGGGATTACAGGTGGTGCCTGATATAGTAAATGTTTAGTGTATATTTCCTATTATAAATAATTATATATGTATATTTACATTTTTGTTTATTTAGTTAATATAACTTTCTGTGCCCTCCAAGAGTCAAGTGATTATTTGAATAAATTGGAATTTTTAAGTGCTGGAGCCTGGGAAGTGATCACAAATGGTAGTCCTCATTTAATTTATAGCTATTGCCTTGAGACTTTAAGACAAATTGGGAAAGACAAAGTGGTACTTCACTTTCATGGTTTTTTTGGAGCGGGCACTGGGGATTGAACCCAGGGTGGCTCTCCCAGTGAGCTACATTCCCAGCCCTTTTTATTTTTTATTTTGAGACAGAGTTGAGAGTCTTGCTAAATCGCTCAGGCTGACCTTAAACTTGCCATCCTTCTGCCTAACCTCCCAAGTTTCTATGATTACAGGCCTGCACTACTGTGCGTTACCCAATGTTTGACTTTGTCGGGGGGGGGGGGGGTACTGGGAATTGAACTCAGGGGCACTCAACCACTGAGCCATATCCCCAGCCCTATTTTGTATTTTCTTTAGAGACAGGGTCTCACTGAGTTGCTTAGCACCTTGCTTTTGCTGAGGCTACTTTGAACTTGTGATCCTCCTGCTTCAGCCTCCCAAGCCGCTGGGATTACAGGCATGCACCACCACAGCCCAGTGTTTGACTTTTAATTTGTCTTTTTATGTTTAAATTGCCTTTCTTGTGGACAGCAAATAGTTCATTCTTACAATTTCTGCCGTTTAGTTGGAATGCTCAAACCACTTACACCTAATATAATTATATATTTAGATTTTAAATTTTTTGTGTTGCTACTTGTTTTCTATTTGGTTTGGTTTTTTTGTTTTTAGGTTTCCTGACTTTTGGATTATTTATGTATTTTATTTCTTGATTCATATTTATCTCTATTGATGGTTAGCTGTATTCTTTACTCTTGGACTGTGTATCTTCTTAGTCATCTGGGGCTACTATATAAAAAAATACCATAGCCCTGATGGCTTAAACAGACACTAATTTTTTTTTCATTTCTGGAGACTGGGAGTCCAAGATCAAGGTACCAGTAGGTTTGATTCTTGGTTAGAGCCCACTTCTTGGCTTTTAGACTGCTTTCATCTTGCTATATGTTCACATGATGTCTGTGCTTTTGCAGGGAGAGAGCACTGGTCTCTTATCCCATTGCAGGAGGGTTGTTCCATGTTTATGACCTCATTTAAAACTAGTTGCTTCCCGGTGGCTTTACCTAATGCAATCATATTGGAGAATAGGGTTTTCAACATATCAATTTGGGAAGTCACAAACATTCAATCCAGAGGCTGGGGTTGTGGCTCATAGTAGAGCATGTGCCTAGCATGTGTGAGGTCCTGGGTTCAATCCTCAGCACCACATATAAGTAAATAAATGAAATAAAGGAATTGTGTCCAACTACAACTAAAAAATAAATATTTAAAAAACAAACATTCAATCCATAATTTTGTTAGAACCGTCTTTTTTTTTCCTAAAATTTCTTTTGTAGTTGGAAATGGATAGGTACCTTTATTTTATTTGTTTATTTTTAAGTGGTGCTGAGGATCTAACCCAGTGCCTCACTCGTGCTAGCCAAGTGCTCTGCCACTGAGCTATAGCCCCAGCCCTAGAATCATCTTTAGACTCTTAAAAATCATTGAGGCCCACTGGGAGTTTGTGTGTGTGTGTGTGTGTGTGTGTTTTGGTTTATATTTGTAATATTTATAATTTGAAATTATAACCAAGATGTTTAAAAATGTTTACTCATTTAAAATAATAGTACAGTCATCCATTAACACAAGTAACATTTAGTGAAAAACATTTCAAAACAAAAATAGTGAAAAAGTGGTATGTTTTACATTTTTGTACACCTCATTAATCTGGCACTTGGTAGAAAACATGATATGTAGGTTTTCATATCCACTTCTGCATTCAGTCTAGTTTGGTTTGAATTATATGAAGGAAATCTGGCCTCACACAAGATAATGTAATTGAAAAAGGGAGGAGTGTTTTAATATCCTTTTATGGCCTTTCTTACTTTCTCTCTCTCTCTCTCTCTCTCTCTCTCTCTCTCTCTTTCTTTCTCTCTCTCTCTTTTTTTTTGGTGATGCTGGAGATTGAACCCAGCTGCTCTACTACTGCGCTACATCCAGGCTGGCCTCAAACTTTGAATCCTCCACAACCTCTGGAGTAGCTGACATTATAGGGATGTGTTACCACACTGAACTCCCTGTGTGTGTGTGTGTGTGTGTGTGTTTAGTTGCAGATAGACACAATACCTTATTTTTAATGTGGTGCTGAGGATCAAACCCAGTACCTCATGCATGCTAGGTGAAGTGCTCTACCTCTGAGCCACAACCCCAGCCCCCACTTTGTGTTATTTTTAACATGTATTAGTCATTTGGGAAATATTAGCTCATTACATTATGCAGATCTTCCAATTGTTGATGTATTTCACTATATCAAAAACTCAAATTCATTAACATTACCAGTGATTTCATGAGAAAAGTATTGTGAAACTTTAAAGTTGATAGTAGTGAATGTAAATATTCAAAAGTTCTGATTTTTACAAGGAAACACTTTTGGCAACAGATACTGTTTGTTGTTTTCTTTGAAAACAGGCATTCCTGTGATTTGTTCAGAGTGATAAATTAGATTTTTCAAATGACTGACTCTGACTTTTTTTTTGTTTTGTTTTTTGGTACTGGTGATTAAACCCAGAGGCATTTACCATTGAGTCACATCCCCAACCCTTTTTATTTTGTATTTTGAGATAGAGTCTCAATAAGTTGCTTATGGTCTCACTAAATTGCTGAGATTGGCCTTGAACTTGGAAATCTTCCTGACTCAATTTTGCTGGGATTACAGGCATGTACCACCATGCCCTACTATTCCTACAACAATATTATGTGTAGTTTATTCCATATATCAAACTGTAAAAAATATGTTGGTTTTTAATGGTGATTTGAGTGCATATCTTGCAATCTGTTTTTACTCTTTCAGGCCATAATGCAACAGGGAGATACATCCATAAAACCTATACTCCAGGTCATTGTAAGTACCTCTGTATGTAATTTTCTTTCCCTTTAGCTATTATATAGTCTTTTGCCATTTGTTTCAGTAAGGTCTTTGAGAAATTTTTTCCAATTCAGGATGTTGAATTTTTTAAAAAATATTTTTATTTGCAGATGGACATAATATCTTTATTTCACTTATTTTATGTGGTGCTGAGGATTGATCCCAGTGCCTCACACATGCTAGGCAGGTGTTCTACCCCTGAACCACAATCCCAGCCCAGGATGTTGAACATTTTTTAGACTCATGTTAAATATGTTTGATGAAGAACATACAGATTTGTCCACTTCAGGAAATTCTTTCCATCACTACAAAAAAAAAAAAAAAAAGTAGGCCAGTCCACATCATACCTGGGAAAGAAACCAGGCCTTTTTTTTTTTTTTTTTTTTTTTAATTATGTGAGCTAAAGTTAAACCTTTGGGGGGTTCAGATTTAATGCTTTGTGTCTATATTCTTTTCCATGGTTGGTTGATGACTGTAATTCATTAGTACAATTCTTACTTGTCACTTTGCTTTTAGGTTTATCTTGTTTAAATCTGCCTTACGTGTAACCTGCAGAGAGATACCTAAAATGAACTTCAAGTTCAAGTAAATGTATCAGCTCTGCCCCATATCGTTAGGTGCATTTATTGCATGTGTCTTTCTGCTTCCATCTCCATCCCAATTGTAAGCCCCTGCAGTTCAAGGATTTTTAAAATTTTTATTTATTATTTTTAGCATGTTTCCTATATATTATCTTGTATAAACTAGGTACGTTGTTTTTTAAAATTATTATTATTTGGGGGATGATTTTCAGCCAAATTTTAGTTAGGGAAGAGGGAACACAGAAATATTGGCAATTCATTTTATTCTGGTCTGTATTGTGTTTGAGGAGAGAGGTTGGTGGGAAAATCATCTAATCCAGTTTTTCTTTTGTTTAGGTTTAAGTGGCAAGAGAATGAGAATCTTATCTTCTTCTTCTTCTTTTTTAATATTTTTAGTTGAAGATAGATACAATACTTTTATTTTATTTGTTTATTTTTATGTGGTGCTAAGGATTGAACCCAGTGTTTCACATGTGCTAGACAAGCACTCTACCACTGAGCCACAACCCCAGCCCCTCATTTTATGTTGAACTAATGGCAAACCCACTGTCCTACCACTAAGGTTTACTTATCTTTGGGGATTGGGCAGCAAATCTGGCTAATGAATCAAGTTTTCTGTCCTAGAACATCCGTCCCATCACAACAGGGAATAGTCCACCGCGCTATCGACTGCTTATGAGTGATGGATTGAACACTCTGTCATGTGAGTATGATATATAAATCTAAGAATTTGTATTTAAATAATAAAAGTACAACTAGTACTTAGATTTCAATATTTTAGCACCTTCCTGAAGTCAGCATTTGCTTGACTGTGCACTTTATTCAGAATTGCAGCTCTTGGAGAGTGTTCTAACAATAGACTGGATGTAGTGGAAAGCTGCCACTTGGCTTAATTAATTTTCACTAACTGGTGCTCTACGTTTTCTTTGATTAATTTCCCTAAGGATGATATTGACATTTAGTGACTGTGATGGGTTAGCTGTCCTATACTTGCATTTTTGGGGATTTTATTTCTGTGTAGGAAGCTTTAAAAGGAAGACAGGAAAGAATTTTCAGAATATGGGCTTGCTATCTCTAGTCACAATGTGAAAGATCTAGAAAAGACTTTTTTAGTTTTTGTCAAGAAACCTAAATGATGAAAAAAATTAATTTTGGCCTTTTAAGAAATATATACATTTAAGAATAGCAGCAGATGTTGAACACATAGTTGATTATACTGTTTTTGAGTAGGCAGAATCTGATTAGTCCTTGAATAGGACCATATTTAAGTCATTCTTTTTCTTTGTAATTAGCTTTCAGATTCTTAAGACTGAATTGTTTTAGAGGCTAAAGTAATCTTTGTGCTTTTCAGCTTTTATGTTGGCAACACAGTTGAACCCTCTTGTTGAGGAAGAACGGTTGTCCAGTAATTGTATTTGCCAAATTAACCGATTTATTGTTAACACTCTGAAAGATGGAAGGTATGTGTTATGTTTTCTGTTTTATTTTATTAAAGAATGGAGTTCGAACAGAGAATTTTATTAGATGCCAAAATTCAATTAGGAATTTTTAAAAGGCAGTAATGAGTTTGAGCTCAGGTGTCTAAAACGTGGTATCAAGAGAAATATGGCAACAAATCGGAAATCTCAGAGCAGATCAAAGCAGAATGCATAACTACAATTTTTTCTAATTTCGTTTTCTTTCTTTCTTTTTTTTTTGATACTGGGCTTTGAACCCAGAGATTCTGTACCGCTGAGCTACACCCCCAGCTCTCTATATTTATTTGTTTAGATTTTGAGACAGGGTCTTGCTGAGTTGCCCAGGCTGACTTCAAACTTTGTGATCCTCCTGCCTTAACCTCATGAGTTGATGGGATTAAAAGTTTGTGCCACTGCACCAGACCTCATTTCTAATTTCTTCCCTGTTTTTAGTATCTTTTAATGAAGAGAAGAGGTCACTTACTACAACAAAAAGATATATTTAATTACATAATGCTGTTCCTTTTTTTAATACCTTTATTTTATTTATTTATTTTTATGTGGTGCTGAGGATCGAACCTAGGGCATCGCATGTGCTAGGTGAGCGCTTTACTGCTGAGCCTCAGCCCCAGCCCTAATTGTTCCCTTTTTTTGGAGTCTTTTTTTTTTTTTTAATTTTATTTATTTTTGCTAGTATTGAACTTTACCACGAGCAACATCCCTAGCCTTTTGCATTTTTTAAAAAATTTGACACGGGTCTTGCTAAGTTGCTGAGGCTGGGTTTGAAACTTGTGCTTCTCCTGCCTCAGCCTCCCAAGTAGATGTTATATGCTAGAAGTACAGTGGGGAACAAAACTTATTCCTTTTACTGAATGATTCATTTTACAGGGGAGGTGCTTTATATACTATTTTCCTGTCTAGTTTTTCAATTATAAGATGTAACCAAAACACACGAGATGCAAAGATGACAAGCATTCCCGTATGACTAAGGATATATTAATGTATGTTAAATTATCTGTATATTTCCAAGCAGCTTTTCAATTTATTTCTGTTAGGTGTATCTTTATCCTTCTTGTATTTGTTTTTTTTCTTTTTGGGGGGTACTAGGGATTTAATCCAGGGGTGCTTAACCACTGAGCCATATCCCAATCCCTCCACTTTTTTATTTTTTATTTTGACAGGGTCTTGCTAAGTTGCTTAGGGCCTTGCTAAGTTGCTGAGGCTGGCCTCAAACTTGTGATCCTCTTGCCTCAGCCTACTGAGACGATAGGATTATATAGGCTGTGCCACCACACCCAGCTTATCCTTCTTTTAACTTTTAACCTTTCTGTTGTAAATTTTGAATGACTTTTATAAATAGCATATAGGTATAAAATTCAACTTGAGATTTAATTGATGTTGATTCTTTTTTTTCTAATTTTATATTTCTGTATTTTTGTTTGTTTTAATTTTTCTCTCTTCCTGTCTGGGATTGACTGAGTTTCCTCCTTTTCCCCGTGCTGGTTTGTAAGCTTTATATTCTATTTCTGCTTTCCTGGGTAATTCTTATATTAAAAAAAAAAAAAAATCTATATTTGAGGGAACATAGGTTCTAAAGCATGTCATATTTTTATGTGTTTTTACCATGGTTAAAAAAAAAAAAAGTTTTAAGACTTTGTTTGGATTGAAGGTTCAACTTTGTTTTTTATTTCCTCCAGTTAACTTTATTCTCTCCTAGAGTCAGCACCTATTGAGGGTTGCTTATATTTTGGTAGCTCACCTTTGCCTCTTTAGCCACACTCCTTCCTTTTTGGTTCAATTTTTCTTTCTTTTTGTTTTGTTTTAATTGCTGAGGATTGAACCCTAGGGTCTTCTATTACCCTAGGGTGCTCTATTACAGAACTATATCCCCAACCTTTGTTTTGTTTTTGAGACAAGATCTCACTAAGTTGCCAAGGCTGGCCTCCAACTTGCAGTCTCCCTGTTTCTGCCTCTCTAATCACTAGGATTACAGATGTGTGCCACTGTGCCCAACTTGGTCAATATCTTTTTCTTTCTTTCTTTCTTTTTTTGTAGTTGTTGATGGACAGAATGCCTTTATTTTATTGGTTTATTTTTTATGTAGTGCTGAGGATCAAACCCAGTGCCTCATACATGCTAGGCAAGCACTCTGCCACAGAGCTACAACCCAGTCCCCAACTTGGTCAATTTCTAAAGCACATCTTTTAGAAACTTAAAGGGAGAGTTTGAATGGTAAAACTATTATGTAAAAATGTCTTTATTTTGACTTTTGGTTAAGCTGGTTTTATCAGGTGTCGAATTCTAAGTTGAAAGTTTTAATCATGTCACTTAAAGATTGTGATACTTCAGGGCTAGGGATGTAGGTCAGTGGTAGATTGTATGCAGGAGGCCCTGGGTTTAATCCCCAGCATCACAAATAAGAAAAAAGAATGACTGAGGTTGTTCTGAGAAATGCATTTAGGTAATTTTGTCATTGTGTGAACATCATAGAGTATATTTACACAAGCCTAGATGGGAGAGGTCATCGTTGGATGTGGCTTCTTGGTGCAGTCAAGAGATCCAAACATGAAAAGAATGAAGCTGCTGCTAGCATAGCATGGCAACCGTTTTAGATTTAAATTGTTTCTCTAGTAATCAGGAGTACATTCTAACAATAAAAAGTATAGTACATAGGGGCTGGGGTCATGGCTCAGTGGCAGAGTGCTTGCTTCACAAGTGTGAGGCACTGGGTTCAATTCTCAGCACTGCATATAAATAAATGAATAAAATAAAGCTCCGTCAACAACTAAAAAAAATTTTTTTAAAGTATAGTAAATACATTAACTTAGTAATATAGTTGTTATTATTATCAGGAATTGTGTACTATACATAATTGTATGTGTTTTGCTTTTATGTGATTGGCAGGCTTGAAAATTCTAAGATGATCCTAAAATATCTTATTATTCTAGAAGAGTAAGGAAGTCATGTCAAAATGACAGAAACTGGTGTCAGGGCCTTAAAATTGACAAATTGGGACAACTTAAAAAATCAAGATAGTAATAGACTTAAGCCTATTGGAGGAAATAGGAATTCATAAATCCTGGATAAATGAATGAATGTATGTGATTGGAATAGAAAGATTTTTCTGACTGCCATCTTACAAAAGAAGAAGGAATTATATAATTAGAAAATCAGCATTTGGCTACCATCATGGTAATGACTGATGCATGATAAGTGCTGGTTAAGTTTCTAGTGGCTGCTACCTCAAATTTGGTGCTTTAAAGCAATAGAAACTTACCAAATAATAACAAAATAAAACAACAAACTATTTTGTCTGGAGTCCGGAAGTTGAGATGTTTCACTAGTGTCAGCAGACTGTGTGTTCCATCTGGAAGCTTTGGGAGAATGCAGTCCTTGACTCTTCCAGCTTCTTGTGGCTGCTGGCATTTCTTGACTTATGGCTGCATCATTCCAATGTGTGCCACCATTGTCATATTGCCTTCTCTTTGGCCTGTCAATTCTCAGTTTCCCCTCTTATGAGGATACTTGTGATTGCATTTATGACTCTTCTATGATGATCTTCTCCTTTTAGCCCTCAAGTTAGTTGCATTTGCCAAGTCCCCTTTTGCCATATCAAGTAACATTCACAGGTTCCAAGAATTAGGATGTGGGTATGTTTTGTGGAATCATTATTCAGCCTACAACAAATATTAAAATAAGTGGGTGAAGATTTGATAAGAAGATATTTATAGAATTAAAGTGCCTCTTAATAACATAACTGTTAATTAAAAACAGAAAAGTTTTTTTTTTTTTAGTTCTGGAGATTGAATCCAGAGGTGCTCTACTAGTGAGCTGCATCCCAAGCCCTTTTTTAAAAAATTTCTTACTTTGAGAGAGAATCTCCTAAATTACTGAGGACCTTGCTGAGTTTCTGAGGCTGACCTCCAACTTATGTGGTGTTGGGGATCGAACCCAGGGCCTCGCCTGTGCTAGACAAGCACTCTACCACTGAGCCACAATCCCAGCCCGACATTATATCTTCATTTTATTTTTATGTGGTGCTGAGTATCAAACCCAGTGCCTCATGCATGTTAGGTGAGCACTCTGTCTGTCTACGTCTGTCTACGTCTGAACCACAACCCCAGCCCTAGAAAGAAATTTTTTTTGTTTAATTTTTTTAGAGAGAGAGAGAGAGAGAATTTTTTAATATTTATTTTTTTTAGTTTTCGGCGGACACAACATCTTTGTATGTGGTGCTGAGGATCGAACCCGGGCTGTACACATGCCAGGCAAGCGCGCTACCACTTGAGCCACATCCCCAGCCCTAGAAAGAAATTTTAACAGGGAAGAAACCTGACATATTCTAATGTCAGTGATAAAATTGCCAGTAATGCAACAAGTGAACATCATGTGTCACTTAATAGAATACAGTAGTAACTCAGAAACTATTCTGTCATATTCTTGCCAAAGGTATATAATTTGTATCCAATTATGAGGAAGCCTCAGGCAAGTGAGGGATATTTACAAAATAACTGATCTTTGATCTTCAGAATTTCAAACTTGAAAGTAAAAGAAAAATTTACAAACTTGCAGATTGAAGGAGTTTAAAGAGATGTGATAATTAAATGTAACTAGATCTTTTTTGCTATTAAGGGAACCATCCAACTGGGCAGCATGGTGCTCACCTGTAGTCCCAGCCTCTTGAGAGGTTGTGGCAGGAGGGTCCTGTTTGATAAACCTGTCTCAAACTGAAAAAGGCTGGGGGTATAGCTCAGTGGTAGAGTACCCATGGGTTAGATCCCTAGTGTCCTCCTCCCCACCCCGCCAAAAAAAAAGGCATCATTGAAACAATTGATGAAATTGGAGTGGGTTATGGGGATTAGATAGAAGTATGAATATTAATTTCCTTTTTTTTTTTTTTTTTTTTTTGGTACCAGGGATTGAACTCAGGGGCACTTGACCACTGGGCCACATCTCCAGCCTTTTTTTTTTTTTTTTTACTTAGAGACAGGGTCTCACTGAGT